TGAGGACATGGACCCTGCCACCATCCAGGACATCAGTCAGTACGTCCTCTCCCTGCGCCTCCCCACGGATGCTGCTGCAGTCCTGAGAAAAATGACTGAGATCCAGAATTTGGCCACCAAGCTGCAGTGCCCGGAGAGCATACTGGCCCAGACGGCTGGGGACATCGCCAAGGCCAAGCAGCTCCAGCAGGAGGCGGAGCAGGCCAGGTCAGTTTGGGGTTCAGGGCCCTTTGGCAGCTGAGGGTCACGCAGATGGAGCGAACATGAGCGGCCTCAGCTGGGTTGAAACTTGCTCTGCTGGAGCTGCTCTGATGGAGATGATCTGAAGTTTTACCCCAGGATCGTCTATGTCTGCACAGTGCCTAAAAGAACGAATCTGCAGCCTCTGCAGACACCTCCCTGGTGCCCCAACACAAATCAACCCTGGCTGCCAAGGATGGCCCCTGAACAAGAAGGTCTTTACCAAAAGTAATGGCGACTTTTCTCTATCTCGAGTCCCTGTGATGGGAGATGACAGAGCTGCCCTGGTATTACTTGATATTGGTGACCTACATCCCAATTGCACAAGAGAGCATGAGGAGATTAAATGGGCTGTTTGTTTTCTGGGTGAAAGTTGGGAGGATTATCCCGTGGTCCCTTAAAAAGTAATTACAGAGCGTCCTTGCAAATTTGGAGCATCTGCTTTGTCACGTGTTGACTTGCAGCAATATCCCAGCGAGAAGGTTAGCGGGATAAGTGTGTAAACTGCCTGATAGCGTCTGACACCTGCTTAACCTGCTGGAAGTGATGACCCAAGGAGTCTGGCTGGCATGGGGAGCTCGGTCACCTGGCTGAATCATCCCACTGCAAGCAGAGAAGTCTTCATTGAAACTGCTTCAGTGATTACTGCCTTCCCTCCAATGCTGCTTCTTGCACCATTTACAAAATAGGTGTTTCTAACTAGTTTAAAGGGAGGCGTTTCTCTCCCCTTCTCCATTTGTCTCCTCTCCTTGGGGGTATGACATGGAAGTAATGCTCCTCTTGACAGGAAACCTGCTGAGGTGCAGTGTGTCTGGATATATGGGTTTGTGGCTTTTGGGGGAGGGAGGTTGAACCTCCTCAGTAACAACCCTGCCTTGCTTCCCAAGCTTCCTTATTTTGCTTCTGCAACCTTGAGTCCCAGTCCATGCACTTACCTACGCTCACTCCTGGCTGTTTCCCCAGGAACCGGGCGAACGCTGTGGAGGGCAATGTGGAGGAGGTGGTGGGGAACCTGCGACGAGCAAACGTGGTGCTGCAGGAGGCCCGGGGTGCCATCAGGGGCTCTGGCTCCTCGCTTCGGTTCATCCAGGAGCGCGTTGATGAAGTGAGTGCTGCGCGGTGCCTTCCCAAATAGCTGTACTGTGCCCTGCTTTGAAACATCCCCGCCTGGTAGAGCCCTGCACCAGCACAGCTGGGAAATGGGATCTGGTGAAGCTTTTGCTGTAAAAATCTCTTCTTTCTGCCATGCCCCAATTGTGGTGGTCTCCAAGCTCCCTGCCGAAACCCCACTTGTGCAATGTGTCTGTTGAGCACCATGGCTGGTCCCTGCACAGAGGAAGAAAACCGTTAGGAGTGGGGTTTGGATGTGATTCCCCTCTTAATGCAGAGTGGTCTGCTTTTAGATTGAGGCAGTTCTTGGTCCAGCCGAGAAGAATGTGAGGTCCATCGCAGGGCAGCTGGACGCGCTGGTGGAGCGGCTGTCGCAGCTGCAGCGCGGGGTGGACCAGAACCGGCTGCGGGCCCGCGACGCACAGCGGACGGCCGAG